TGCCACAATCCTCTTCCTGACCAGACATTGATGGGGGCTGGATTAATCGGCAGTGATGACAGAAGAGCTCTTTGCTAGAAGTTGAGCAGTTCTCTGGATCCTGCCTTATGATTATACACAGACAGCTGGAAATCACAATGCCAACAGCACATGTGCTGCTGTTTACAGTCACCCAGAAGAGCAACGAGCATTGCTGCAGTGGGCCAGGCCAAGCCATGGGCTGCTGTAACCCACCAGCCTGCCTCTGGCAGTGGCCAGCAGAGACGGCCTCAGGAAGTATGTGAGAACAGAGCAAACAGGTTTTGCTTGTTCCACTGAATGGAAACATACCCTCCAGCACTTTGTGGCTCAGGGGCTTTCTGTGCTCAATAACCAGCAACTGACTTTGCTTCCAAGCATGTGCATAGGCTGTCCTGGATGGTGGTGAGCAGCTCCATGACTTTGCTGCTCTGGGTTTTTGTGAACCCACTGTGCTTCCGCAGATAGGTAAAGCAAGGGAACAAATGTGTTGGTCAGCACCACTGTTCTAGTCTTGGCCCATGGAGTGTCAACAAGGGAGTGCAAATGAGCTACAGAAGCCTGAGGATAAAACCTTCAAGATGGTCTGGGTGAAAACAAGGTCAAGCCACAACAGTTCTGGCTTCTGGCTGTAACAGCCTAAGGGCAAATGTGCTGCCACCTCGTGCTGAACTTAAGGGAGCTTGCCCACTAACCTTAGGAATGATGTACTCTCTGAAGGAGGTGTCTTTGGTCACAGTGTGAGGGAGAGCCAGGGGGATAAGAGAGATGAAGCGCTGGATTTCATGGACCACCGCATCCGTGTAGGGCATCTGGGTCCGATCAGCCACACACGGTTTTCTTGATCGTCCTATTACCTGGTCAATCTCTTCTTGAACTTTCTCTATCATGAGAGGCACAAACCATAAAATGGGTAAATATAACCAAACCTACATAAATAAGTTGCCCTAAGCTGTTTACAAATCACAGATGGCAGGGACATTGATGTTGGTTTTGGTGTTCACTAGAACACAGTTCCACTGCTGCCCATGCAAAGAAAGTTTTCCTATTGACTTGGCTAAACAGGAGTACTGGGAGATAAAGGTGTGGACACAGTGAGGTGCCAGGCTGTGAAGGGACTGTAGCTGATGATGATGCCAGTGGAGCTGAGGGGCCTCCATTGGCCACCACGAGGAATGACAGTGCAAGGATTTTGTCCATTTGGGTAAAATATGAGAGAGAGAGAGAGAAAGGAAAAGCTGGGAGAAGGATGTGGTATTAGGCATGTGCCCAGCCCAGGGAAAATGCTAGAAAGGAAGAGATCACAAACTGGTACCTTGTATCTTTGGATGTTTGAGAAGCAGCAGAAGCCCATATCGTATGGTGGTGCTAGTTGTCTCAGATCCAGCAATAAACAAGTCAAAGGTGCTCGTTATCAGGTTCTTCAGGTGGAAATTGGAATCAGGACGATCTTTCTCCTACGGAAAAGGCTGGGTTGTTTCTCTGGCTGAGCTGAGAAACATGGCCCTTTCTCATGTCATCCCAGGCCTTCCTTTTCACCTAGAGCTGTTGTATTTTTGTGTTAAAGTGCAGCACCATCTGGGGCACTGCAATGCTACCTTGAGCAGTAAACTCAAACTGCCTTGACCAACCTTCTTTCAAGCTGAGCATCGAATGGTACTCAAGTGCTTGTTTGCCCTTGTTATACCAACTGCTTTCCAGTGAAAGAAGTGCAAGACTAGAGTGAAAATGTCCTGTGTTTTGGTGAGAGCAGATGAAGCTCTCCCTGTCCAAGCAGCTGCAGGTAGTGGGGGCTGGGGAGC